TTTGTGTGGTTATCCGATCTGTGCACGCGATCTGTCCGTGGTGTCGATCTGTTAATTGCAGACTGCGGATGTGAAGAGCTCGATTATCTGCTCCAGGTGAGGCTGTGTGGCGGTGCTCCATGCTTTGAGTGTGTCTGGGAATGACCAGTCCCTCGAGTGCCACTTCCTTCCTAATCACACTTCAGAGTGTGCGTCGCCTCTCAAGCAACAAGCTGGACGAGGCCCAAAGTGTGTGTGTGTGTTTATATGCTGTGGGTGTGTGCGTCCGTATATCACCAGTCCCTATTCCACTTTCGTGAGGAAATTCCATTCCACATTATCTGGCTGTCTTAGTAATTAAATGGCTCCTTTCCCAGACTTAGTCCAATGGGAAAAAAAACACAACACAGAGTTCAAAAATAATGATCCATCATCAATAAACTTTTTTCCACTATTGTGCTGTTGCTTTTATTTTCTTCAGTTCAGAGTGAAAGAGATGTTAGTGTTTTTTTTTGTTTCATTGGTGTAATTAAGGGTTCTGGTAATCTTTGTGTGATTGCAGAATTTTCCCCTTATTTATGCAGTGAATGTCCATTGTGAGTAAGGCCAGCAGGCTCTGCTCTGTCAGCGGTATGAAACACAGTCTGTTTTCTTTCAGGGTTAGGGAGCTGTGACCGTGGGACAGAAAGAGTCTGCATCCCTCCCCATCACGACCAGGCCTTGCTTCAGTCACTGTTGGGCCAATGTTTGAGTACAGCTGGTATCAGGTTTGTATTACAGCTGGGTGATGGTGGGTGTCATGTTCGAGACAGGCATGCTTTTGGCCTCTGTTCCTTGGCAAAGTTTCAGGAGTGCTGCGTTAGAGAAGCCCTGTACCAGTGGAGGCCTGAATGTGATACATTCGTCATTTTCTCGGGGGGCAAGATCAGAGGCTGTTCGGTCAGCATGTTTTAATCATTATTGTGGGAAGACGGATTGAGTTTCCTAACCTAGCAGGAAACGGTAGGGAGAAGGGCAGCCTACAGCACGTAACCGATGACCAGTCATACCTGAGGAGCTCGCTGCTAAGTGTCAAGTCCAGGGACCTGGAGAGTGGATATAGGCCTGAGCATGGAAAAATGTCATGTACAGCGTTTGTACCAAACCCACGCTCTTTGATGTTAGTTCTCAGTTTTAGGTTATTGATCTTTCTGGCAAATTTGGCAATGCTTTTCCCATATGATGGTGAAAAAAAACACCATCCTTCACAAGCACTGCACCATACGATAAAACAACATGCATTATCCTTTACCACCACTGGTGCAAATTCCATTATGGGCCCATCATTATTTTGTACCGGTTCGTAACGAGACGCAGTTTCAGCAGAAAGCCAAGATCAGAGCTCTGGACTTCTAGGGAGAAGTCAGGTGGATATGAAGGACTGGAGAGCTGACAGGAACTTTCTGCAGGGGCAGGTTGGTGGCAGCAGTCCTGTCAAGTTATGTGAAATTTCAGTTTGCTGTATGGTTTTCATGCATGTTGTTGTATGGTGTGGTGTACCCATCATGAAAGAGTTACAATGCTGTGTGTGTGTTTTTTTTTTTCCTTCGTCCAAGTGTAACGAATATGCCCCTGCGTATAACAGGGATCTCAGCCACCCGGGCTGAGGGAGCTCTCCTTTAGCTCAGCCGTCAAGTTCCCTGTTGCATGACGCCGGAGACCTGGGTTCGTGCCCAGGCGGTGAGGGACGAACTGGCAGGGCAGGAGTGGCAAGGGCGGAAACACCAAGAACCATTACAGAAGCAATTCAGAAGGCCTCTTGCCAGGTTTCTTATCCTTGATGTCCTGTGCAAATACAGGCTTATCATATTTTTTTGTAGATTATATACTGTATGTTCTTAATATTATATATTCTTCAAATCCAATTTATTTATAGGCTTGGAACATTCAATTTTCCTGGGGCACAATCCTGCGGATTCCTTCACAGTGCCATGTGCTCTATCCCGGTGGGATTGCTGAGACACACGAGGTGGAAGGCCTTAGGGATTCTACCTTTGCTATTAATGTGAACAGTGTGAGTAACTGGGGCTGGGTTAACCACTTAAGTGTGATCTGAGCGCAGTGTGATGTCATGCAAAGGGGAATTGTGCTGTCCTCTGCTTATCCTGCAGAACGGTCTCCTTTCTTTTGTAGAGAATAATTTCTGCAAAGGCACCTAAACAGACAAAGTGGTGAACGATCGTTAGATGTTGTTTTGTCTTACTGTGGCTTTAAAAAAAATCCTTAATGGACGTATTTAACTTGAATGCCAACGTGATGAAAATTGTCCTGCAGTTTGGGCTGTCAGTTATGTCCCTGATTTTAACACCAAGAACGAATTAAGTTCCTCTCTATTTCTCCACCTGGCCAACTGGATGCCTGGTTTGCCTCACTCTCCTTTCTTCTTCTAGAAGAGCGCAAGACCCTTCAAAGTCCGGGAAACTCGATATTCTCTGCAGGACAGGGGTTTCTGTCAGCTCGTGCGACCGTTGCTCACGCGAAAGTTGGATCCAAAATTAAAACAAGGGAACACCTTCTTTTTTTTCTTGTCTGGGGAAGCAGTTGGCTTTCGGAGGCCAGAGGAGAGGAGTCACAGAGGCGGCGCGCTGTCAAAACCTCCCCCGGCGTCACGGCCTAGCCCCAGCCGAAGACAACGGACGTTCGGTCCTTTTGTGAGGAAAATATGTCAAAACTTTCAAGGAACACCATGTAAAAACCATCTCTTTTGTCCGGCGTTTTGATTTCCGACACGTCACGGCGTCTGGAAGTTTGCGGGGGGGGGGGCGAGTCAAGTCGGAAGGGTGAGCTAGCTGTGGGGGCTGGTGGGGTGAAAAACGTTGCCGGCCCGCGTGGCTTTTTGTGGTAAAACGAGGCCAACGGGCATCGGAGCCGCCCTCATTCCCCCAGGCCCCCCGAGCGCGAAGAGGCACAACACCTTTGCTGCTGCCGGCAGTTCGGCCCTCAACAAGTTGGTCCGCAGAGCAGATGTGCACCTCGCGCCGAGCCACAACCTGTCGGGCTTGCAGGCCCGGCCCGCTGAGGGTCCGCAGTGCCACGTCCCGGCCCGCTGAGGGTCCGCAGTGCCGCGGCCCGGCCCGCTGAGGGTCCGCA